ACACACACACACCAGCTCTCTCTCACGCACCATAGACAACCTGCACACGCACACACACATGCACACAGACACACACACACCAGCTCTCTCTCACGCACCATAGACAACCTGCACACGCACACACACACACATGCACACAGACACACACACACCAGCTCTCTCTCACGCACCACAGACAACCTGCACACGCACACACATGCACACAGACCCACACACACACACAAAGCTGCTTCAATTTTGGATCTACTCGTCTGGGTGGAGTAGGGGCTGTTGTGGTGAAAATTTAAAACACACACACACACACACACACACACACACACACACACACACACACACACACACACACACACACACACACACACACACACGTGCACCGCGCGAAGTCCCATTTATGGGTAGGCGACTACAACTCCAGCCTGCTCCGCAAAATCAAGTGCCAGGCATGGATCCAGATATTCAGGCATACATCTTACATCGTCCAGGTCATTTCAGTGCTCTTACCTTCACAGATAATCAGGAACCTCACTCGGTCTGGCTCGTTCATCAGGTATAACTCTTTCTATCACCAAGCGGTAGAACATCACTCGGTCTGGCTCGCCCATCAGGAACAGTATGGCGATGAGCACTCCCAAGCACTACTGCCTCCGGAGAGCAATCCTGCTGAACCTCCTCCTTCCCCTGTGCATGGTCATGCAGCATCCCCTCCCTGTGCAATCCTGCTGAACCTCCCATTGTGTCGTTGCACAGGTACAGTCCGGTTAGCATGTGCACGGCATAGCCTCTGCTCCGAACACCATGAAGGATGGTCGCTGCCAGCCTCTGCCACGAAAACTGCGATCCTTTGTCATGTGCTCAACCCCCCCCCCCCCCACCCCTCCTTCCTTCCCCACCCCCCCAACCTCCCACCCCTTGATTACTTGCCACAACGGCATGCCGTTGTCGCCTTGATCTGCCATGCTTGAATACTTTTGCACGTGTCAGCCTTCTTCGCCGATGACACGTCAGCAACATGCCATGTGTCGTCGTCAACGTTTCCAGGAGGCCATCACGGGAAGTACGTGTCTCTACTGCCTGGACTATCCCCGGTGGCATCATCCGCCACATCTTCTCTTTGGTATGTCCCACATGCGGTGTCGGTCATACATTCAGGCTGCGTGGACTATCCCCGGTGCCATCATCCGTAGGCATCCGCAGTCGGAAATCGTTCTTCCTTGCCTGACGAACGAAGGGCACAGCAGCCTGAGGAGGAAAATAGATTACCATATGAACCACCTGCAGAGTGCTGTGCTGATAGGTTGCCTCCACCAGGGCGCGTCTTTTATTCTGGCGGACAGCAGTCTGCTTCGTATTCTGCTGGTGGTGCCCATACAGGGTTCTATGTTCACTCTCTTTTATTCGCCAGGTTTTCATTTT